TCTCTCTATATATATATATATACACATCTATATATCTATTTTTATATATAGGATTGCTTGTACATATAGGGTGTGTGTTCATATAACATACATCACATTCATAGATGGATGCCTATTAATAGAGAGAGATGTTGATACTCATGCGTCCATCTGCATGCACACAGGATGTGCTGGTGTGTACCTATGCGCCCATGCGCCCCCTCCTCCTCCCTCCTCCTCTCTCCTCCCCTCCCCCAACAAACTCTGCTTGCTGTCAAAGGCAGAGCCCGGCACCGGTTCGGAATAAGCCTCCGAGTTTGGGAACACCGTGCAACGAGCGATAATGTGCATGTCAAACACGATGCGGCGGCCAAGGGGAGTGGAAGAGGCGCGTTGCAAGCAGGGAACGCTCCTGTTTCTTCCTCCGTTTGCGAAGGCTGATTTACTGGGGAATATGGTATATTTAAAGCATGACTCGGTAATTGCGGGAATGTCACACCGGAAAAAAAATAATGTTTCTATGGAGACTCTTTGAAAGCTGGGAATGCGAGGATGACGGGGCCCGTGGGGTTGAGTTGGGTGGGTTGACGAGAAGGGGGAAAGATGGTCGATGGAGGGGTTGAGACAACAGAAGTGTTGTTGTTGTTGTTGTCGTCGCCGCATCACAAACTGTTCTGCCTTCCCAGACCTCTTCCCTCTTTCTCTCTTTGCAGTGCATTAATTCTATCATAATGCATACCTTAATGGCATGCAATTAAATGCAAACCAGTACAAAATCAATAAGTATCTTGGATCTAAAGTGGACGCCGACGTAAATTATCGTGGGGTATTTTAGTAGAGAAATATTTCATTTGCTGCTCGTTTTAGAGGTTTTTCAGCCAATGTCATTCGGGGAGCTGCGGACACATATACACAATCCCACTCTCGCTACATATACGTATGTGTTTATATACATCATTGCACACTTAGAGACAGAATTATAACGCTGGAAGAGACCTCGTGGGCCATCCAGCCCAACCCCCTGCCAAGAAGTAGGAAGATCACATACAAAGCCCACCCAGCAGATGGCCATCCAGCCTCTGTTGATTTGCTGACCACACAGATATGTATGCATGAAGGAGGGAGGAGTAATATCTATATAGGCCTGAAGAAAATATGTCTGTGTCTGTTTATGTATAGCAGTGTTCCCAACCTTTTTTTTGACCAGGGACCACTTTGACCAGAGACCACATTGACCAGGAGCCACTTGACCAGGGATCACTTTGATCAGGGACCACTTGACAAGGGCCCACCTTGACCAGGGACCATTTTGATCACGGCCCACTTTGATCACATACCACTTTGACCAGGGACCACTTTCATCAGGGCCATCTTTAAGCAGGGACCACTTGGTCAGAGACCCCTTGACAAGGGACCACTTGATCAGGGACCACATTGACCAGGGATCACTTCGACCAGGGTTGACCAGGGCCCACTTTGATCAGGGCCCACTTGACTGGGATCACTTTGACCAGGGACCACCTTGACCAGGGACCACTTTTACTAGGGACCAAGATGATCAAGGCCCACTATGATCACATACCACTTTGACCAGGGACCATTTTTACCAGGGACCATGTTGATAAGGGCCCACTTTGATCACATTCCACTTTGACCAGGGACCACTTGACCAAGGACCACTTTGACCAGGGACCATGTTGATCAGGGCCCACTTTGATCGCATACCACTTTGACCAGGGACTACTTTAACCAGGCACAATTTGACCAGTGATCACTTCGACCAGGGTCAACCAGAGCCCACTTTGATCAAGGCCCACTTGACTGGGATCACTTTGACCAGAGCCCACTTTGACCAGGGACCACCTTGACCAGGGACCACTTTTACTAGGGACCACATTGATCAGGGCCCACTTTGATCACATACTACTTTGACCAGGGCCCACTTTGACGAGGGCCCACTTTGACCAGGGACCACCTTGACCAGGGACCACTTGACCACGTTGATCAGGGCCCACTTTGATCACATACCACTTTGACCAGGAACCACTTTAACCACGCACCATTTGAACAGGGATCACTTCGACCAGGGTCAACCAGAGCCCACTTTGATCAGGGCCCACTTGAGTGGGATCACTTTGACCAGGGTCCACTTTCACCAGGGACTACTTTCACCAGGGACCACCTTGACCAGGGACCACTTTTACTAGGGACCACATTGATCAGGGCCCACTTTGATCACATACCACTTTGACCAGGGACCACTTTTATCAGGGACCACGTTGATCAGGGCCCACTTTGATCACATACCACTTTGACCAGGGACTACTTTTACCAGGGATCACTTTTATCAGGGATCACTTCGAACAAGGTCAACCAGAGCCCACTTTGTTCAGGGCCCACTTGACTGGGATCACTTTGACCAGGGACCACCTTGACCAGGGACCACTTTTACCAGGGACCACGTTGATCAGGGCCCACTTTGATCACCTACCACTTTGACCAGGGACCACTTTAACCAGGC